TCAAAATCATAGACCCCGTCACATATATGATCAATATCATGATATACGATATATAACTATGTTTATACGTGTGTATATAGTATTTATTATTAATGTGTCATATCTTTAAAACAAGATAAATTTTTTTTTTATGTTTTAGAAAGAATTGTTTTACTTGAAAGAACTCTATTTATACATTTGTATATACATTAGTGACGGTTTAATAAGTTAGATATTTTTTTTTGTGTTAGGGAAGGGCACAACATCCAACAACTATTTTAATTAATTTGTGTATTCGTTAGTAATACATAATGTCTGTTTAATAAGATAAAATCTTTGGAGATTGCTAAAACTATTTCAAAGCCCCCCAAAAGCAAAGTGGGGCTACAGAACTGGTAGCTTAGTAAAAATACTGTAAATTTGAATAAAATGATATATAAATTATACAAAAATATGAATTTATTTATAACTAAGATAAATTATTTACAAAAACATTATAGAAATGTACGGGTCAATCTTTGCAGCAAAGTACATCATGACTCATAAGTATACATAATATAACAACTGAGATTGATTGTATGTTTACTGGGCGAGATACAGCCTTTTGCAATACAATTTGCGCTTATCAGTTTTATTTACATTTTTCATGGCTGTGCAAAATTATTTTGTAAATTTGAACACAAAGCAGTAAATCAAATTCCCTTCACCACCGTGTCTTCCGAAACCAAGTTTCACTAATCTCCAAGCCATTCAAAGCATTGAAAATAATTTTTTGTAGGCCAATTAATAACGCAACGTAATGAATACAAATGCTTCATTTAATGGTTTACTATCAACTCTTATGCGTACTCGCTTATATCTAACGTGATATTAAAAAATTACTAATTTTTTAAAATCAAAATTATTTATTTATTTATATAATTCAAATTATATATATTAAAAAATTGAGCTTCTTTATTTACAATTTAAATTCTCGCGAGGAATGCAGTACAATATTAAGGAATTAATCAGATTACAATGCAAATAGTTTACTGAATTAATTTCTTCTATAAAAGTCTTAAGATACAATTTGACGACAGACATTCATGCAAATATTTAAATTTGTTATTTTAAATTCATTTACACGTTCCGATATTTACGAGTAAATATTTATACAGTCTTTTTTCAACTCATTTGACGTAGTTAATTACGGCGAACGATTTTATTTAAATAAGTGAAAAAAATTCATTAGCACCTAGTCTAAGTATCAGTCACGTCTTCTCTCTAATTTTTGGACACGTTCGTATTTGAAGTCCGATGCCCAGTTTCGCAACATTTCCTTGATTCTGTGAACTTTATGATTATTAATTTACAGTTCAACGTTTCGAATGGATGAAAGATAGCAGAAAAAACTAGTTGAGAAATTAAATATTTATTTAGAATCATTTCTGCTTCATAATTATCTAAATAATGTCAGACGTCTTCTTCTCTCACTTTAATGTATATTTTAAATATTTTACTTTAACGAAAAAAACAAACAATTTTTTTTATAGATTGCTCACTTTCTTTGACAATACTCGTATTGAGTTTATATAACATAAAAAATATGGTTATATAATAAAGTTTTTTTTATATTTATTTATTTATTTATTCGTATTTTTCCTTTTTATAATATAATAATTCAATTACATAAAGATATTTTTCGAAAAGTAGTAAACTACAACAACAAAAATTCATTTAATATTATTTTAATTAATTGGATTTTTAGCTGAACATACAGCTGTTTTGAGTATTGCCAAATACCCATTAGCAGTGATCCTGGAATTATTTTTTATATTTAATTATTCGTAAATAATTTTTTGAGACTACAACTACCAGTAATCGCACTCGTGCCCTGCCAAATTTGAAGCTCAGAGTCAGCGCAACTGACCCAAAGCCATACTTGACTTTTATGTTCGCACATTTTTCTGAAGTTTTGTTACTTTGCTGTGAAAGTTTTATTAACAAATTCACTTACTGTGTTTATATTAAAACGAGATCATAAACCAGTTGCGGAATAATTGAATTAATTAATTATATTTTTATTTTTAATTGTTAAGTTTCAATACTGCCCACGGCTTCGTTTGTAAATCAAATTACTAAAGATAAATATAATATTTAGAGTTTATTAACTTGTATAACTTTTGCAAGAATAAATATTTTTTTATATATTAATTTATATGTTTTATTAATTTCTTTGACTTAAAAGTTTCATTTTCTATTATTTTATTGCTATACAGTATAGCTTCGTTGATTATCCATTTAAAGAATTATATACCTCTTCAATTTTAAACACTGGCTTCTTCAAATAGCTATTTCTCTGTTCGATAAAAATAGGTTATTCTCCTACACATATCCTTTAACACACAAATAGTGCACACTACCCTTTCTTAGCTTACATAAGGCAAAGTTTGAGAGCTCTCTTCTTATTTTAACTATAATGCTTATAATGTCAATTCCTATCTATTCAGGAAAGAGATTGCTTTCGCTTAGATTGTAGCAGAAACGGTTACATCCAAGTCCTGTTAGGCTGGTTTATGTTTTCTTCATAAAGTTAGTACCTAAAAAAGATTTTACTAATATAATTCAGTATTTTTTATATTTATTTTATTTTTAAATTATATATGACTCGATGAATTTAGATTAGTGATTTGAAATGTTGAAGTATTAAGATGCTCTTGCTGATCGAACACATAAATTTAAATGAAAGATTTGGATCGAACTTGAAATGTTCCCAATTATTTGAGGGGCTTGAACAGTTCATCTGTTCTACGTCAGATTTTATTTACGATTGAATTTATACAAATATTTATAGTAGTAATTTTTCCAACACTATAAGATGTTCGAACTATTTCAAGCAGGCCCCTTTGTTCGATCAATATACTATAATACTTCAAACAGGTGTAATAATATTTTAAGTTCTTATTAAGGCTGATATCAGTTTAAAAAAAAAACAAAAATAAAGTTAAAAAAGATATATGTTAGGTTAAGCTGCCCTGGCGGTTGTAAACACCAAAAATCCACTTTAGCTAAAATAATAGGCCTTAGTGATACCATATACATATAAAACGTTGATTCAGACTGACTAAATGAACAACTAAAACAGGTATAAAGACCATAGTACTCGGAGCACAGACTATCCTATAAAAATAAAAGTGAAATCTAAAAAGTTGATTACGTCCTTAATTTTGAAAGATACAGCTCTATCAGGTCGGAGGCTTCAAGGATATTAAAAAGCTAACTAACCAATCTCGACACTGACATAAAAAAGGGTAAATAATTTTAATAAAGTGTAAAATAATATAATATTCATTACTTTATTACAAATGAATGTCTTAGAACAGATGTGTCAGTTATATTCCTAATCCATGTCTGTTTCTTTTATCCTTGATAGATAGTGGTTAACAGAAAGGAGTATGTTCAGTTCATAAACCAGTGATATATCTAAGCTTAAATCTATTAAGACTTAGATAGTTGTTATTTATGTTTTTGATTTCAATGGTTTATACTGCCTTAAAATTCTAGCGAAGACCGAGACCTTCTCGAACTACTAATATGCTTTGTTCTAAGAACTGATACAGTCAGACGAAAGGATTTTACTAAAAGAATCTCAATAAATAAATTAAGAGTCTATTTAAAATCATATCTATTTTACAACTTGTAGTTAGTTCTGGGGTTAACAAACAGTCTTAAGTACATACTTTTTAAATTTGTAATAAAAACAAATAATTATGTCCACTTAATTATTAGTTTTACTATATTTTTTTAATTTACTTTGTATTTATATTACAGTTCTTGAACATTTTGGCTCTGAGTCTGCTGGCTGTTATATGGCGCAATCCGCATATGATGGAGGAATTGGAAAATAGTTACGACTATAACGTGGATCCCAATGCACCAATTTTGCCTACTCCTTTAAGCAAAATTGAACCGCCTTATGCTTATCGTGACCACTCACTAATCTATCGTAAGCAATATCGTAAGTATGAAATTTGTTGAAACAAATTAATTATACCGTGTCTACACTGGACAGATTTTGACAATATTTTTGTGTCTGAGTGGAAATACGTGCTATATATGAACTTTGCTAAAGTCTAGCCAGTGTGGACGCTGGGTAATTCAGTGACAGCATTGGTTAGGCTTTATTAAGATGTTTGATTGTAAATACGTATAATTTGGGATATTGAGAGTCCACAAAAATCTAGTGCCAAATCTAGAGTGTGCTAAAGTCTAGTTTGTGTAGAGGCAGGATTAATTTATGATGAAATTATAAAATGGTTGTAGATTTTATAAATAGCCAAAATATTGTTTATACTTAAATTATGAAGTTGACTATAATTGGCAGTATGTTTTTTATTTAAATCCACTCAAGTGTTTGTATTGATAAATCTTAATGTGGTGACACAATTCCTTATCTAAGTAATATAACATAAGGAATATATATTATTTTTTTAAATCTAAAAATACACTAAAATTTATTTCAATCTTTACGAATATTTCTTTTTATTGCAGAAAATTTTGATATGGGCGGCTTAGTGTGCACTTGTATGATAGCAATAACATTAATGATGATATATGGTACCATTAAGGGGAAACCATCACATTTGTTGCCTTTCTTTTGCTTGCAGTTGTTTGACTTTGCAATTACAACGTAAGTCAACTTTTTTTTTTTGCTTATAAAAAGAAATTTATTATATTTTCACCCTTTTTTCACAGTTTAACTGCTGCTGGTTACCTGTGCTATTTGCAAGCAATACATCGACTTGTCGCAGAATCTCCTCGCTTGCCGTGGCGCGAGAAATTATTAGAACTTTCACCTGAGGAGTTGGTGATTGTTGTACTGGTTGTGTTTATCTGTATTGTTTTTCTCAAAGCATATGCTATAGGCATTGTTTGGCGTTGCTACAAATATCTCACATTGCGCCAACAAAATATGCGTACATTGTTACCTTGCGTTATGCCGGATATAGCCAGTGCCAATTTAGTTGCGGAGGAACGAGCTTATTCCACACTCTTGCCCAATTACGATGAAGCTATTGCACAGTATATGAAACAAGCACCACCACCATCTTATCAAGTTGCCATGTCCAATTATGAGGCTGAAGAGAACACCAACACAAATGATGCTGAAGGCACTGATAATAATAATGATACACCAAATAACAATAATACTGTACATGTTAACGCAAATACGCCACCAATGAGGCGTAATGAGAACACCGCTGCTGCTGTTGCAGCTGATGCTGATGCTGATATTACAACACCTGATACTGATGATAGTTTGTCAACACCACCACCAGCATACAATGATACAGTCACTGTTACAAATGTGGATGAACAGGAATCACCAATACGTACTGCAACAAGTTCAGCTGCAGTTTCGTCCATTACGGAAGCTAATAGCATTGCTCAGAATGCTGCCCATACAAATGAGAGTCAAGCCTAATTTGTATGTGTAGTAGTGATTTTTTGGAGACTAAATTGCGTGTAGAGTTTTTTTTATATGTTTTTATTTTGTATTTTTATTCTGTTTTATTTTTTAGTGCAATTTTCAAAATAAGTGTTAATGTTATTCACTTTACGCGTTCATCTTTTACTTCTTTCAAATTAATATCCTTTTTTATTTTTATTTTTTTTTTAAACAAATTTGTAACAATACTGAAATTCTACACAATTATATGGAGAAATTAAGCAGGTTGAACTAAACAAAAATTATACATATTGAAAGTATACATATTAAGATAAAAATACTAAATTTTATGTATTATTCGTGCGTGCAACATATATTAAAAATGCACATTAATTTTATAAAATGGAAATCTTATTAACTAAAACTATCAATTTGAATAGAAGCTCTTTTTTTCTTTGCTATGTTATTTAAACATATTAATAATATATAATTAATATATCCAAATTTTAACAAACAAAAAAATCAATTTTTAAGAAATGTAGACAATTTTAGTGAAACAAATTAATACCATACAAATTTAATTAAATTCATATTGTAAAATATTAGAATTTTAAAAAAACAAGTTTTGTTTTTATAAACGAAATTAACTCCAATAGTTACAAGTCGGAATAATACACATATATATATTTATCTAAACATTCCATTTTTAAAAACAAAATTTAAATTTTGGTATTAACAAAAAATTGCTCACCTCGCTTACACACTCTAAAATGCTTCTTCACTCAATGTTAAAAGCTCAAAAATTGTTTAAAAAAATCTAGCTATTACAATAATAGTTTTCCGACCATGTAATACTTGGAATTTATCTATTTTTTTTTTTTTTTTTATATATAAAATTGTTTATAAAAAAATACAATACAAAATAAATGTTCTGTTTTGTTATATTTATAAAAATGTAGTATTTAATATTTGTAGTTACCCTCTACTTTTTATATTAAGACTATTATAATTATTACTTTTATTAATATTTTAATCTTGATTATAAAAAGAATATTAATAAATATATATATACATAAATATATATATATATATATATTCGAATACACTAGTTTTTAAAATAAAAAAAAAATCGCAATAAAATAAACACCCTTTGGAAAAGGCGAACATTTTTTGCGAAATATAAAATTGTATTTTTTTTTAACTTTTAAATAATTAAAGATATTTGATAAAATACAATATTGTAATACATAATCTCGACAAATGCACATAGTTGATCAGAATTAAAATATGAATTTATTATATATAATAATTAATTATGTGTGTAAAACAAGGTGGTCTTACGTCATAAGTTGGTCGCTCTGTTCATAAATAACTGGGTATATATGACTATATGAAATATAACGTAAAGTTTAACACCCACTCAAATGAGAAGTTGGAAGTCGGATTTAAAACACATTAATATAACATTTAGTAGAGGAAAAACTGTTTTTTTTATGCAAAATGTACTGATTTCACATCTAAACTACATAGAGGAAAAATATAATTATGAAATAGAGTATATATGAAGGAAGGAGAAGGAGTAGTAACTTGGGGAATGCTCACAGTATATAATTTATGCTCTAAGAGTCAATAATTATGTTTATAAGTGAAATCATTCAGACACGGACCAGTAAAATGCGAACCAGTAAAATTCGTTATGCACTATATGCAACCTGGAAGTAAGGATGTTAAAATTCTTTTAGTAGAAGAAACTCTTACTTAAATTTGAAGGAGCACAACAAATTTTAAATAATTTCAACATAAGGTTTCTTAAAATTACTAGCTTAATTTCCCATGAAGTCGCCCATCTGTTTAAAACTCATACACCTATCCATTGCGGTCCCATTGATTTAAAGTTTCGACCCACCGAAATAAAAAGGCTAGCATCAATTACAAATCCACTCAGTTTTACATAGTATCGCCTCATACCATATAAATCATCTATATACCAACCCATGTATTTGTTTTGTAAGAGGTCTCAAGGGGCTACGACATCATTTATATATTCAGCTGATAGTGTAACTACGACACTTCAAAATTCTTGACAAGCCTTTTCTTTAAAAATTTAACAAAATTTCATAATATACAAATCATAAAATTTGTTATAATTTAGTTTAAGTATGATATAGTGTATATAATATATATAATGATTCTTATATATATATAAATATAAGAATTTAAAAAGTACGTTTACCCCCAAGTCAAGTTCTATTAAGTAATATAGCAAGCAATTGTTTGTTTATACAAAATCCAATTTTATATAAGAAGGTAGATGAAGGTAAAAAGTACATTTTTCATATCCTTTGAATCGCTTTTCAAGGTAACATTGAGCAGCAGAAGTGTGCTTTTAAATTTATGGTCATCACCCATGACCTTAAACTTTCTTATAAGTTCAAGAACACAAAAATTATGAAAACCTTCGAAACTTTTATTCTAAACTTTGTAAAAAAAATGTCAGGATATTGAGAAACTTTCGCTTATAAAGTTTAATCTGAAAGGATAATTATAAGCTTTTACTATAAATGTAAAAGTAGAGCTTGAACTATTATAGTACATATGGAGAAAGTTGTTTATATATAAAAAGATTTTTCCTATAAAATGCTGAATCTGCTATGCTATAAAATATTGTCAATTTATTTCTTACCTTTATTTATAGAATATTATATCAGATACCGTTTCTGCTATTTACGTTATTTAAAACACTAATAATTATAACTAAAGACTAATTATAGCAAAACGTATAACTATGTCTCATATCAAGTTTTTATAGCATTAAGTGATTACGATTAAAAATGATTTGTTATATTCTTATAGAAGTAATATAAAGTGGAATTAGATAATAATCTATTAAACGATCATATTCTGTATGGTGCAAAAGCATGGATATTATCACAGAATGATGAAGCAGCTCTATGAGTGTTTGAGAGAAAAATTCTTCGTACGATCTTTGGTCCTCTACGAGTTGGTGACGATCCATATGGACCACTAAATTTATCACGACATTGACATAACTCAACGAATTAACACCCAGCGGTTTCGTTGGTTTCGTCATGTCGTGAAAATAGATGTTGATACTCTAGTGAAAAAGATATTTGAAGGGATAGTTGGAGGAAGAAGGTGTAGAGGTAGACTGTGTCTCCGGTAATGTGATTGAAAGTGCACTAACCGGACTTGATGTACAAGACTGTAGAGGGCGCGCATACAGCAGAGACACATGCTGCGTCGAGGAGGACACTCTGCGTCAGGCCGAAACCTGATAACGTGTTATTATGGCCAAATAAAAAAGTAAGTACGACCATATTGAGAACAAACATATATGTTATAATAGATATAGTGGATTACAGCGATGAAGAACAGTCAAGCAATAACGAACTACAGTGTAAACGTGGTTTCAACTACATATTTTCTTAGTATAATTTACAATTTGTTATTATTTAATGGCTTAAATAAAATTGACTATAACTTTTATTCTTTTTGTTGTACTGTTGAATATAAAGTCTTTATAGTGGTTTATAGAAACATACATCTGATAATATTGACGTTTAATACCATATTTTATGAACAGTTTATTATACTATATGTAGTAATATTGTGTTATATGCTAACTAATTAATTACTATATTCATTTGTTTGAAAAGATTCGTTCCAAATGTTGGGATAGTAATGTAATATGTCCAAGCACGGTGTTATTTGTTTAAGAGAATTTATAGGGCGTGTTCTCCAATTGAAAGCTACGAAGAATGGATTCAACGTTTAAAAAGCGATGATTTTAGTATATATATTAACATCATAAACATCTTATATTAATTTGATGTATATTAACATCTGTAACTACACACTTTCTGTCGCTGATGATGCTGAGGTATACTCAGCCGTCGTCCAGGGGTCGTTGCAATAGAATTTTTACTTTGGAAGTCAAAGACAATGTGATGTAGTAATTCAATTATTTATTTAGGAGAATTTAAAATAAAATAAGGTTGTACAATCTAATATATTTATAATATAATGCTGATTTGCTAATTTGATGACTACGGATATTTAGAATAATTGTGCTTCGATAATTGTTCCGATCGTTGTTTCCACGTGCCTGAAATGTTGCTGTCAGACGACAGTACTTGTGCTAATCTTGGTGTTTTGTCAGAAGACGTCGTTAACTGGAGATTAGAAGTGTTATGCTGGGTTGCAGCCTTGGTTAGCATTCATTAATGTTAGGACGTATTACTACCCTAACTCAAACCTACAGAAAATCCTACTAGCCAAGATGTATCATGACTACCTTGGCTTGATTTACATATAAGACTACATATACAATCTACTTGTCAAGACGTATATACTACCTTGACGCTATAGTTCGACTGACTTGTTTCACAAAGACGTATTACTACCTTTGAGAGTTTCCCAACAAGTGCCCCTGCTTGTACAATGCGCGTTTATTTATACTCAAATGACCGAAGCTTTTCCTGTAGCGCATCGGTACATTTTCTGTTGGTATTTTTGATACTTGTTGTTCGCCTGGGTGTAATTTCCGTGCTTTGTGTTTTCGTGTGTTCTTGAATTCGCCGTGCTTTGTTTTTAGTTCAACCAAAGCTTTCATGCTTTGTCTTGTTTACAAACGTGTTTTTTTTTATATAGTGCCGGTGTGTGCGGTTTATTATTTATTAATAAATTTAATTTTTTATAAATATTTATTAATAAATAAATAAATATTACAAATATTAAAAGTATTAATATAAATAATAAATGAGTGTATTATTTATTTGTTTAAATATATTTTATATTACTTGCATTTTCAATGTAATCTTAGGTTTGTTCATTTGGTGCAATTACGTGCATGCGGGGGAGGTTTTAAGGTAAGTTGTTTACGTTTTAAATTAACAATAAAAATTAACCAGTTTTCATTGTAGATATTAACTCCAAACTGATCGTATGTAGGTTGGAAATTAGTCAAAATTTCCATCCTTACACATCATCGCCGGAATACACCTTTAATCATTAAGAAATCGTTATCATTCGTATCATAATATCACTGAATTTAAGTAAACATCATATATTTTTATACAAGTGATTGTTTATAATCAACATTATTGATTCCTTTTTATCAGAGAAGTGAAAAACATTTAAACCTTAAATTTGATAAAATCAAAAATTGCTATAGGAATAATTAAATTTTAATCATGGCTATTTTTGCACTTTTGCGCGAACAATATTTTTATAAATAATCTCGAAATCAAAACAAAATAGTTCTTATCTAATAAAATAAAGAGCAAATTTGGAAATATATAAAATCAAAAGTTGGAATACCTTTCAGAGTAGTTTATCA